AAACGTTGACGAACCGGCTATTCCTTTGGCAAACGAGCATGTCAAGACTGATGAAAATCAGTCTTTGGCTGACAGGACTGTAGTTCTGGGAGGGGACGACCTACATGGGACTCTACGCGCTATCCGCGATAGTCTAGAGGAACAAAGCAAGGAGCTCTTCGACCAGTTAGACAGACTGGTACCGGAAGAGCAATGTGGGGACACGCTTCCGGAGGAACTGCTATTAAATTTTACCCTAACTGATGATGAGCTGGACAAGACGGTGATCCCACCCAAGTCTATACAGGGGGATTGCCATAGTAGTAACGAAGGAAGTGTGGACCCTATTGTCCGACCGACCTCCAGTCTGACTTCAACAGGTCCTGTTTCGGCACCAGCCGACAAACTTCAGAGGCAATGTCCTACGATGGGAAATCTGTTGATCCCCCAGAAACGGACAGTGGCTCGAAGGTTGGGAAGGCCCGAGAAGTGACTGATGCGAAGCTGTTTCGTATCTTCGCAAATTCGTAGGGCGAGACGCGAATTTGATCTCGGAGAGGAAAGTTCAGCCATCAAGCGTAAGATGAGACATGAGATAACTTCGAGAGAATTTATCCTCACGCTCTCCATCGTGAACTCGAGATGGACAAGATCTCTCTCCCGAATCTCACTACTCGCACAAAAGTAATAGAATCGGCGAAGCCAACTGTCTCTGACAAAGGTGTTAAGCCGACTTCTGACCTGAAGCCCAGCTCTAATCCAAACCCGTGTAAAAATGCACAGGAAAAGCCAATTGAGAGTATCACAAAGCAAAATGTCACCCATAAGGGTGATCAACGTGCGGAGGGCTCTGTCTCAAAACCCAATTCTGCTCCTAACGACAGAGGTGAGGCAAAAGCTCTGGGTGGATTCAAAAGTGTTCGAAACATTAAGAAGGGGAAGTCAGTCAAGGAACCGTCTCCTGGGGGAGCAGATGTCGCCCCACAGAATAAATCTGTGAAGCGCATCCGCTCTTCAGAAGGTCCGCAACCCTCACCCAAGAAGAGGATGGCTTCTCGTCTGGTAGATCCTTTTACCTCTTATGCGGCTTGCGCTGGACAACAAACTGCGGAGAAACGGCTAAGTACGGAGAAGGCTTCAACCTCCTCTGGAAAGGCAAACTACAAGGTTCGTAGTCAACGACAGCGTAAGCCGTATGATAGACCAACCTAGGTAGCCGCTGTAGAAGACCTTCTAGTGGCGATCATAGATAAAACTGATCCTCATGGCAGAATCAGTGAGAGTCATTGGTTGCTATTTGAAGGAGCCCTTCGATCGGCAAAGTCATTATCTGTATAAACAAGAAATCCAAGGACTTCCTTGTGAAAACCGTTAGTGGCTTTGGCGCGCTCTGGGAAGGAGCAAACCTTGCAGCGGTCTCCCTATCAGAAATCCCAACAAGACGGGTCCTTTCAGCCTGGGTTCACCCCCTTCAGTAGACAAGGAGCTCCTGCTGAAGATGCTGGCTCACTACATTGAGCTGGGGGGTTACTCTGTATTGCGTTGCGAAAGCAAGTGCGATGCGAAAGCTAAATGCGTTAAGAGTACAATTTGGTACTCTGTAACGTTCACGCAAACGCATTCGCAAACTAAATTGAAAATAGGGCAACACTGTCGCCACAAAGTAAACAATAACGAAGAATGACAAAAGGAAACGTCAAAAAATTGTAAATGAAAACATATTTTTGTGTGGTACGAGTGTTTTTTTAAACAAAAATGATGAACGAATTAAAAAAAAAGAATTTTATGAGATCTATCAAATATACTCTCCCTAAGTGCGAATTATGTGACAAATGTTTTCAAATATTTAGTTTTATAGATTTATATAAAATGTCTCAATAAAGATTCGTTTATGTATTTTTTAAACGCTCGTCGTTTCAAATAGATCCACAACAATTCCAACTCCAATAAAAGAGGCCGCTGCTTTGAAATTGCTTGGACAATGTGGTTATCAACATCAACCTATAAATATGCACACATAGTTTCACATTTTATATAAAAAAATAATATATTACTTTTTCCAACCACCGACATCTTTTACAGGAGGTCAATTTGAATTGAGGTCATCAGACAGTTTTGTCCACAAATTGTTGGCGCGTTGTTTCGCATTTGAACTCTGCAACTGTCCCTTTGCCAAATCACTGTGTTGCCCCATAAAATCTACTGAAGTTAGGAACTGACGTTGCTGAGCCTGTAACTGTGACTTTTTTGCCTTTTACTTAAAATAATTTACAATTTATATATAAATAAAACCTTTAATGGAGCTTACTTATATGTTTCGCTTCCTTTGCGTTTGCTATTTTGTTAACGCAAGATATTTGCGCTTAACGAACGAGTTTGACATGCGTTTTCGTATTACAGAGTGCGGTGATGCTACATTTGCGTAAAGTAGATGCGAAAGGAGATACGAAAACGAATTAGAGAGTACCAATTACGCGATGCGTTACAATTTTTCTCACGCATCGCAATACAGAGTAGCCCCCCTGGACTGTGGTCAGTCTAACTCCCTGTAACGATGATGGTGGTATGGTGGCGAGAGTTGCGGTTGATCCACCAGGGGAGGAATATCTTAGGGAGCGTGAGGGGAAACTGAACTTCGGTTCAGGATGGGTTCGGTTTCGACTGAACACATCCACCGAAACTCAGTAGGAGTAGGAAAGCGGCATAATGCAGATCAATCTGCATCATTGCAAGGCCGCAGCCGCCGAACTACTCCTGTCCCTCACGAATATGGTTTCTGGACTAACTTTGACATATTCGCAGCGTCCATGGGGGACAAGGTGAGAACATGTATAGTAGGTAAGAAGAGTTTAAATCTAATCTTTATATCTAATTACAGCAATGGTGACATGTGCACCGTAAGGCTGGAGCATTCGACGGGGAAGGCCACTGTGAACTTTGGCACAACGAACCTAGGTGCAACGTGTCAAGATCCATTTGGCCGACTCCGACTACCAAAAGAACGCATTCACTGAGCAAAGCTGAGATGGAGTGATGACGGGAATCATCACTGGTCAGTGCCACATCTGGGCATTTACTAGTAAATGGGATCTTGCTGCAATTGATTACTGTAGACTCTGCGTTGACGAGGAGAGATGGAGACAATTGAGCATCTCCTGTGTCATTGCACAGCCCACGATAAACCAAACGATATCAAAATCACATACGTATATGTATAGGTTTGTAAATTACATCGACAACAACACAATATATTGAGGAAAATTATTTGTTTTTGGTTCGAAGAAATAATGTCATCATATTAAATTTTATTTATTTCATTTGACGGCTAAGATGTACATACTAAATTTTGCATCGAAGTACCCAAAAACTCGTAAAACGCGAATAATTTCCGAAAAGTCCATATGCCTTTAACGCTCTTCCAATTTCGGTGTGCACATCAAAAAATACATCAATCTATACCTATTTCAATGCGGTTTCATGTCATCCATTAAGAAATATGGATGACCCAGCTCACACTATTCTTGAGATAAATTGGCTCTCTGATCCACAGAAAATGCAATTAAATCCGCGATATTTTCAAAAACATTTTTTGCCAAATTTCGTTTTTTTGGCAGGCCAGTTCCCGCCTTTCTAGTCGATGGATTTTCAAGAAGAAGATTTTAATTCATCCGAAACGCAAAAAACCTCACTGATCGCGGGTACCCACATCATTCCATTGACAGATCTAAAAATTTGGCCTGAAAAATAGGTTTTTTATAAATTTGATCACGCAAAATTCGGAAAACCACCAAAAACCAAAAAAAATGTTTTTTAAAAAACCACCACTTAAAAACATATTTTATAAAAACTTATTAAAAATTTGTTGAAAATGTACTTAATACATTTACAGTGAGAATCCACTTGTTTTTTTTTTTCATTATAAAAGTGACATAAGTGCGTCTTAATTAATGAATCAAAGGAATTATGGATAAAATTTATTTTTTAAGAATTGTAAAAGATAACTTGAAATGTAGTGGGATTGGATTGGGGACAACATTTCAATTTTATCAAGAAAATTACCATAAACATAAGTCACAGATCGTTCGAGAATATATGCTTAAAAATTGTCCAATATTCATGAAAACACCTCCTTAGTCAACGAATTTGAATGCTACAGAGAACTTATGGCGTATTTTGGAAAAAATATTAGAATCCATAATATCGCAAGCATACCAAGTCTGAAAAGTGTTTTACAAGTTGAATGGGAAAAAAATTCTGACATCGTACAGGGAAAACTTGGTAAAATCTGTGCCGGTAAGGTTGAAAGCTGTAAAATATAACAAGGGATAAGTCTGAAAAGTGTTTTACAAGTTGAATGGGAAAAAAAATTCTGACATCGTACAGGGAAAACTTGGTAAAATCTGTGCCGGCAAGGTTGAAAGCTGTAAATATAACAAGGGATATTATACTGAGTTAACCATGCAAAAAATACTTTGGTGAAAAAAACTTTTATCTTGGGTACTTTTCACTGTGAGGTTGCAATTGCTTTAGTTCAACAGTTATGACATTTTTGTTATAAAAAACAAAGTGGATAGATTTGACTGTGACTCACTGTAGTTTTAAATGATGTTCGAAAAATATTTGTAAAAGGTTATATAAAAATATTTAAAAAAAATATTTTAATTCGAATTCGAAAAAAATAAAAAGGTTAAATGAAAAATATTATTAAAAAATACATTTCCACTACGAAATAGTTGTTTTTTTTTTATAAAAACAACAAACTGGGGTTCATCTTGACTATAAAGAAAAATAAATAAATCCACATCTCTATATTTGAGATTTTTCTGAAATTATTATTTAAGAAAAACTATGTTATGTAAATTAATTCAATTCAACATATTTTTTTAAATTCATCCCTATTACAACAAATTGTTTCGGTAACTCGAATACTATTGTACTTTATGCATTCATTATATAAAACATGTTCGTAGACAAACTTGATCATTATGTAATAAAAAATATACAAATGTATTCAGCCTTACCTGTATATGCCCTTTTCTTCGGTTAATCCAGACGTTTCCGCTCTATAGCAACGACTTACTGCAGCTACTTTTACAGGGAGTTCACTTTCCTCGAGTATTTTGTTCTCAAAGAAACCTGCTAGCGCCATTTCGGAGGTTCCAGACAAACATAATCCAGAATCTAATTTGTAAACCTGCATATAAATGTTAGTAATTAATTCCTATAACACTGTACAACACATAAAATCGGGAAATTCCAAAAAAGTATGATAGAGTGGGTAAAAATAGAAGATATGTGTATCCGAATCCTAAAAGATTTCGAATCCTAAAAGGTTTCCTAAAAGTGGGATAATATTTGAAAATATTCCAATCTAGATTTCTCCAAATCCTTGCATTTTAGGTATAAGGTGTCTTGGCTATATTACTGATATAAATCATTTAAAACGGGGTTTAGCAGGACAGAATATTCTACGAAAATGTTTGCCATAAAGTTTTACTATAAGTCTCAGAATAGACCAAAACGAAATCACTGTCAAAAATATTCTGACAGTTGATCAAACAGTTTTTTGCAAAACCTATAATAAAGCCCATTTGACTATTAAGTTTGCTTTTAGTATATATTTTAAAACTTATGAAAAAAATAGAAACATTAAAAAAACTACAAATGCAATTTTTACCGGCTTTGTGAATCCGATTATGCAAGATTATCGCCTAAAACTGTGTTGTGTTCATTAAAATTATCGGATTATTGTATTTTCTATTTGATTTTTTTGACAATAAATAAAAATAACTTGTTCGACAAAAAAACAAATGGTTGACATCATGGTACAATAATACAAGGTAGGGTAGCTTGAGGTAAATAACAAAAAATTATGCACGTGTGACCTCTTCGGCCAAAAATAAAATAAATATACGCAACAAGTGTTTGTGTTTCTTTGACATTTTTTCAACACAAAACTAAAAACGCGAAAAATGAATGTAAGGTTCTGATTTTTCCCAAAATCCAGTAGGGAATACCATAAAATGTTTGTTTCATCCATAACACCAAGAAATTTGTCCCATCCCTAACAATTGAGAGTATTTATCGAAAATAAATTAATTTTGACAGTTTGAAAATATTTATGAAATTTTCAACTTTTTCAGTAATTACTTCATGAATGAAAAGTAAAAAATTGTATAGTTTTTATATATGCAGCAGGATGTAAATTTTGTTTTCTACGCAATATATAACGTGTTAAAAACTTTATTTTTATTTCAATTAAACTTGAATATGTTTCAATTTATTTGACATTGTATTCAAAACAACACATACACAAAATATGTATTTTGATTTCATTGAACAAGCCACCTTGAGAAAAATTTGTAATCAGTTGGAAGCTGTGCCCTACCTTGTAATAATTATACCATGGTTGACATTAAACATATAAGAAACATGTGTTTTCTCTTCTCACTCGATCTTATATAGGACTAGGCTTTTCGGTGAAAATATATTTTCAAATATGTCCACATGCCAAACACCTTTCACCATAACGAAACGTATTAAAATCTTTGAGTGTAAAGTGAAAACGTTTTCAGTTTTATTGCGCATGTTAAATGTTAAAATAATTGCTTATTTAGCCATTATTTTAACATTTTCAGAAAAAAACCTGAAACCAAGGCGTATTTATTAAGGTGTAAGTGACAATCATATGGTTTTAAAGTTTTTTCTTTATTGTTTGTTAAATAAATTGACTAAACAAATTTCTTCGCCGTTTCATTTCCTTCAAATTTAAAATATGCTCAACAACAAAAAATACATTTATAGGAACAGAAAATGTTACAAGCCTCAAATGACGAAAAAATTTATTTTACATTGGCTTCCTGATTATAGGCCGCTGAAATATGGACCTTTAAAATTTGCAAGGAGCCTGTATTGGTATCTGTCCATTGGTGATTGTCACACATATGGACCTCTATAATGTTTCTAGTGCTTTCTCACGAAAATATCACAATTTGCAAAAAGATTATATTGAGTAGCTTTAAATAAGTCCGTACGTGTAGGATATAAATCCTACAAGGAAATGTATTTTGGAATCTGCCCATTGGTATTTGCAAAATCTTCGACGGATGTCGAACTCATAGTTAGGCACAAAATCTTTGCAATTAAGGATAGATTCCGTAGTGGATCTTTATATATTAATTTAAATTGATAAGCATTATGAGCCGTACTTCGGCCCGAGAATTTGACATACGCTTAAGACAATATTGGTATACTGGCTAAGTAACATAATCTTCATTATTTTGTGGTCTTTGAGCGGCGATTTATGGCACAAAACTTTTCCACTGAGGAAAGCTGATTTGGAAGCCACAATTTAATAAATATATATAGGAGCGACGGGCATATATATTATATATAGGAGCGAATTTTCAAAAAAAAAAAAAAAAATTTCAATTCCTCATAGATTATTTGTTGACAAAAAATTAAAACATATTTGTTTTGGTTTATTTTTTGACAAAAACTAATTTTCAGCATGTCAATTTAATTTCTATAACAACAATGTTGTTTTTGTAAAATATTTGTTGTTGTATCTGATGCATGCAACTTATTAAATATACCTTGCACCTTATTAAATACACCTTGCCTGACACAAAATAAAATTCAAAACAAAGTGGTGGCAAACAAATCAGCTTTTCAACACCCTTTGTGGAGTAACTTTACAAACCTATGCAAACTAAACTTCGATGTATCTAATTGTTGTGGTATTGTAAACTATTGTAGATATTCAAAATGTACAAGGTCTACAATGCCAATTTACAAGCATTCGTAAATTCCGCTATTTGCAGAGGGGATTGGGGGACACCTAAATAAGATACCTATAGAAAATAATTAAAGAAGCTTAACCCTTTCGAAAGCTTTAACGAAATTACTATGATTGTTTTAGATAGATTATCATTTAAACATGTATTTAAATATACCGTCATCATAAATGCAAAGGGACGTAACTACATAAAAATACGAAATGGACTGTTTGATTATTGTTCGTTTAATCACACTACATGTTCACGCAAAAATTTAAACATCTTACGTCAAAAACAGCGATCTTAAAGTAATTCAAACGGACGTAACAACAATAGCATGTTCCTATTAATGCAAACATGTGTAACTACACTCCTGTCAAAAACTAAATCTCGCAACATTGAAGATAGAAATCCTGAACTTATATTAATGTTATTTCTGGGACGTTTTTGTTTTGAAAATGAGATATATCGGTAGCCTTAAAATTCTGTATTTTAGGGCTTTTCTACGTTTTTTTAAATAATCAGCTATAATTAGGTATTTCTCAATACATTTAGACTCCATAAAGTATGCTGTGCTAGTTTCTATCGCAATCTGAGAAATATATTATGTCTTTAGTGCAGCATTTACATAAAATCGGTCGAAAATGTGTATTGGAGCTATATCTCAATTTGTACCGATTTTCACGAAACTTAGCACGCATCATTCTAGACTAATTTCAGTACAATATGGCAAACTTCGTGCAAATCAAAAAAAAAAAAAAAAAAAAAATAGGGACTTTAATGCATCATTTACATAAAATCGGACGAAAATATATGTGGGAGACTGGCATAACTATTCAAGGTAGTCTCATTTGAGAAATTGATAATGACAACGCTTCTTAATATGAAATTCATATATCAAATAGAATGAAAAATAAATTCCATATAATGTTACGCAAGGCAATTGGCAAATTTTAAACAAATTAAAAAAAAAACACTTTTTCTAAGGCTCCATATTGTTCTCAATATATAACTAAGAATGTTTCAATTTATATTTATATTTATAGGTTTTATAGGCAGGGAACTTAAAAATAAAATATTAATAAATATGAATGATTCAAAAATTGTTGCCACTGGACACAAGATTTGCGAACATTTCGGAGGAAGATATTTTAGTTTAAATTTTGAAAGCAGAATGTTGTAAAAAGCAAATTAATGAAAAAATTGAAAACATATGACTACATGGGACAATCTTGTATAGTTATGCCATGATGTGGGAGCTATGTCTAAATCTGAACCAATTTCAACAAAACTCAACACACATCACTCTAGACTCAATTTTGTACGCTTTACAAATTTTTAATCTCAATCGCATAATTACTAGTCGTTTTGTTGTACTATAATTGTGCTGTAGTTTCGTCATGTCAAAAGTACGTAACTGACATAAAACCATTAAAAAAATGCGGCTCTGTAGTGCAGTTAAATATCTATGCCTTTTTTGCAAAGTCAATATGTTTCTAAAAATCTACGTAATTTAAGATCAATTAAAAGTTTAGGTTCGGATGGCATTCCTAGCATAATTCTAAAGTACTGTTCAGATACATTAGCTATCCCTTTAACGCTATTGTTTAATTATTCCCTGAAATATAGTCATTTTCCGACCTTCTGGAAGAAATCCTATATAGTTCCTTTACACAAATCTGGTAGCTTAACTAATGTCTCGAATTATAGAGGAATTGCTAAATTGAGTGCAATTCCAAAATTATTCGAAAAACTGATTACTGATGTAATTTCTCATAAAGTTCAGCCAATCTTAAGTCCATATCAACATGGTTTTCGTAGTGGCCTCTCAACCATTACCAATATTATTCAATTTTTCTCAAACGTCATAAAAGGTTTTATTCAGCGTAGTCAAACCGACACGATTTACACTGACTTCAGTAAAGCTTTTGACAGGGTTAACCATGAACTTTTAATATATAAATTAAATCAAATTGGTTTCAGTATATATTTAGTTAAATGGATATCATCTTATTTGAGAAATAGATCACAGGTAGTTTTGTTTGATGTTTGTCTCTCCAAATCCATTAATGTTCCTTCCGGTGTTCCCCAAGGAAGTCATTTAGGTCCACTCCTCTTTCTTCTATTTATAAATGATTTACCAAATGCAATAATCCACTCCAAATTGCTAATGTATGCTGACGATGTCAAGTTCTTTATCTCCCATAACTCCATGAAGCAAGCTGATTTACTTCAAAATGATTTAAATAACCTTTTTCAATGGTGCGAATTAAACTGTATGGATTTAAACCTAAACAAATGTAAGCATATGTGTTTTTACAGATCTTTTACTTTAACAAGGCAATACAATATTAATGGTACTGTTTTATCAACTGAAGATTCATTTGTTGATCTTGGTATTTTAATGGATCCAAAATTAAATTTTAATAATCATGTCATTTCTATGGTAAACAAAGCCCACGGTGTCTTAGGATTTATAAAACGATGGGCTAAAGAATTATCTGATCCCTACATTACAAAACAACTTTTTACATCTCTTGTGCGACCCATATTAGAATATGGTTCTGTTGTATGGGATCCCCAATATACAATATATTCCGATAAAACGGAAAGAAAAGAAACAATTTCTAATTTTTGCACTGAGAGGTTTACATTGGAATAGTGACTTTGAGTTGCCTTCTTACACTACCAGGTTAAAATTAATTCGATTGCCTACATTAAAAAGTAGACGTATTATGTTGAACACTATGATAGTAATTAAAATACTAAACGGTAATATACCCTCAGACTTCCTAATTTCATCCATTAGAATAAATGTTCCTTTTCGAGTAGATATTATCAACCATTATACGTAGATTTTCATCGCACAAATTATTCTATGGGAGATCCACTTAGTAAAATGTGTATTGATTTCAATTCTGTGTATTCTAACGTAGACTTTTGCATGAATATAGAACTAATAAAATCTAATATAATCATATTTTTAAATGAATAATACAACTTAATAACAAACTGGCTGTTGAAGTAGATTTCTGTAGCTGGTTTTCTATCCCTTCTCATATTCCATCATAATGCGGATTATGGTGTGTACGCGATCCCTACGAAAGGGGAGGTCGCCCCCTCGGTCGGCAGGGGTTTGCATTTATGATGACGATATGCATTTATGATGACGATATATTCTTTTAGTGTTTATATAATTCTGAATTCCTACATCAATATCAGATCCGTATAGACTAATTTAAAGCAAACAGCCGCACGATAAGTTAGTTTTTTAACGAACTACATCTCTATCATTGGATGGGTACAAATGTAACACGGCTATTGATCTACGTATACTTTTTTTGGTTATTGACCGTAGGGTTAAAAGGACGGTGGCGTCAATTGATAATATTTTACATGCAGTTTTTAGAATGCGATTACGTCTATATACAGTATGTCAGGAATGAGTTTACACATTGAATAAATAAATGTTTTTTTTTTATTTTGTAACTGAGGTGCATTGTACAAGGTAGGTTCATATAAAAACACTAAAAATAGCTTGAAAATATAAATTTTTCATTTTAAAGGCACTTGCTGCTTCACATTTTCCTATTAGGAAATTGAAGTAAATTTTAAACCAATGGGCAAGGAACTTCTGTTGCGATTTCTTTGATTTGATAATAAACAAATTGTTATCACGCGATTAATACTATTTAATTAATTGTGAATTGGAATGCTCATGCCAATTCATGGTTGAAACCCGGTTCAGAAAAAACTTAAACGTTGATACTCTATTTTTCATCATCTACCGATTAGGGAATATAGCAAAAATAAATGTGAAACATTTCACAAAATGGTGTTGTATTTTTTCATGGTTCCCTATATATCGTAAAGCTCAAATTGTATTATCGTATTTTTTTATTTCACATATGTATAATGTGTAAAGAATTGTCCTGCTGGGTCGTTTTACATAAATCAAAAATGTTATATCGAACTTGGCATGGGTATTACAAAACAATCAAATCAACCGAGTATTGCAGATACCTTGTATAATTGTACCATGGTTTTATCAAAAAAATTTACTTCCACAGTAATAAACATTTTCATTTTAATAAAAATTGAATTTATTTGACATGAAATTGATAGAAATACAAATTAAAATGGGTTGCCGTTATTAATTTCTCAAATGAGAGTAGCTTCCATAATTATAACATGGTACAGATGTAATATATTTCAGTTTTAAACCAATAACAAAATGTGTCAGGAACTAAAAATATTCAATTTTAATTCAATATAGTTCTCAAGTATTTTTTTAATACTTTGACAACGCTTCTAACGTTGCTTAGGAGAAATTTCTTATAGTACCGTTTCACAAATCTGGCAGTCTATCAAACGTCTCAAACCATAGAGGAATTGCAAAATTAAGATATATCCCAAAACTGTTTGAAACATGAATTACTGCTGTCATTTCACTCAAAATTCAATCCTTTTTAAGTCCAATCAACATGGTTTTCATAGTGCTCTCTCAACTATAACAAATCTTATACAATTTACTTCAATTGCAATAAAGGAATTTGTTCAGCGAAATCAACCATGAACTCTTATCACATAAATTGCATAATATGGGTTTCAGTATAAACTTAGTTAATTGGATATCATCTTACTTACAAAATAGAGCACAGCTAGTTTTGTTTTAAGGATGTCTTTCAAAATCGGTTAACGTACCTTCAGGTGTTCCACAAGGAAGTCACCTCGGGCCGATTCTTTTTCTATTATTTGTAAATGATTTGTCAACTACTCAAGTTATTCATTACCCATAAAAAGCCCCATCCGAACTATAAAAATCGCTGATTCTATAAAAGCTTAATTTCCCAAGCCTTTGCTTGATATGCAACCCATAAATAAAAAATCTATGCCAATATTCATTTTTAGGAATAATGCTTATTTTAAATGTTAAAATTCGAACTTCTGCATACTTGCGTTCTTTCACCATCCGCCTGCATGCCACATCCTTCTATTGTACTCCTTGGCAATATATCTGGCACAGAAATTAAATTGAAATTATTTTCTATTAATTTGTCTACCGCATATTCTTTAATGGCATGCTCCATTTCAGCTAATTTCCCAAACAAGTAGTAACTCTTGTGACCTGTATAATTTCCCAAATGGTCCATTCGGAATATATTCATGTATTTAGATGCTTCAGAAAATTCTGTGGCTTTAACATTACTATACCCGTTTGGTTCAAAAAGTTCAACTTGCTTAGGGTCATCTCCATAGTCTCTCAATCTAGGGTGCGTTGAATTTGGCAGTTTTAAAAGTTCCGTTTTCAATGCGTGGATATCTGTCTCATTGTCGGGACGCATGTTCCTAACTAGCTCTCGCAGGGTCTGAATATTATTACTGTGCTGTCGTAACACAACATTCTCTTCTATTTTGTCCAAGTCAGATATCGGAACAAGTTGCTGCAAGTCTTCTGGAAGAAACTTCTTACCTATCCTTGCGGAGCAAAATGAACGTACAAGTGTATTCATACAAAGAAGCCTGTAAAATTGTGTTGATGTTATACATTATGGAAATACATTAAATATAAATCCATTCACCTCATAGTTAAAGTAAGTTGTAACAAACTTGTTCGTAGCTGCTACAGCAGTTCTTATTATCGGGATTTTGTATTAAAATAAGGTTATCCAGCAACCTTAAGTCAGCTGTTTTTTGTTTACGTTTTCATAATGGAATTCAATTCACAATAATAGGTTATGACAGGAAATTGACTAAATTGACTTTCGCAAACAATTAAATGAAAAACGTTCCACTTGCTCAATAATGGGAGAGACGATAAAATGACCGATAAAGACGATAAATGCATGGGATATAAAACCCTTCACCTCATATTTAACGTAATGTTTTCGGAACAAGTTAGGGCTTAAAGGGGAAACAGATACAAGCAAGGTGTATTTAACAGCCCTACCTAAATTTCGACTATCTCGTTCGACGTTTTCACCACAAAAGTAAAACTCATGTTTTTATCTATGATATGAATGTAGTTTTGGTTTTATTCTTTTTTTGAAAATAGAAACGAAACAAAGAAAATATATTTTTTACATAAGAATATGAAATATTTGAAAATATTTTATATTTTGTTAGTTTTGTTTCGCGATTTTTTTAGTTCGCTAAAGGACTAAGCAGAATATTCGCGATAAGCGTTTTTTTATCACGTTAACGCACGCAAAAAGTTAGAATATATTTGACTCGAAGCGCAATGCACATCAACTTCGAGCGTTTGTGTTATCGTTTCCTTGTGGTTGTTGTATTTTCGATATCTCATAACGCGACTAATGGCTGACATCAAGATCTATTAATAAGGTCACCAAGATAGCAATCGAAATCGGAAAACAGCTGTTTTTTCTCAAGTCTAATGTCAAAAATTTCGACTTTGTTTACGTTTTCATAATGAAGGTCAATTCACAATAACGCATTTTGACAGCAAACTTGAGAGGTATCGATAATCAGCTGGTCTCCATTGGTGACCTTATTTATAGGCCATGGCTGACATTAGACTTGAGAAAAAACAGCTGTTTTCCGATTTCGATTGCTATCTTGGTGTCCTTATTAATAGATCTTGGCCATGGCCTAGCCCTTAAGATATATGTATTCGATCATGATGCAATAATAAGGTGATGTATCACAACAAAAACATGTGTTTTTGTCTCGACCATCTGTCAAATTTTCCCTTATAACATTTTACATGGTTGGCAACATTGCACATCGAATTCAAGTAGAAATTACGCACTTTGACAGTTAATTGAGACATCAGGTGCGCTAAATTTTTTATTTATTGTGTCATGGATTCGACGTATTTGGGTAATACCATGGTGCAATAATACAAGGTAGGGCAACTTGAGGTGAATAACAAAAAATGAACTATGCACGTGTGGCCTCTTCTGCCAAAAATAAAATAAATATATGCAACAAGTGTTTGTGTTTATTTGACATTTTTTTCAACACAAATTAAATCGCGAAAAATGAATGAAAGGTTATGATTTCTTCCCAAAATCCAGTTTGTTTCATCCATAAAAAAGTAATTACTTCCAGACGAACGTGTTAAAAACTTTATTTTCATTTCAATTAAACTTGAATATATTTCAATTTATTTGACATTGTATTCAAAACAACACATACACAAAATATGTATTTTGATTTGATTGAACAAGCCACCTTGAGAAAAAATTGTAATCAGTTGGTAGCTGTGCCCTACCTTGTAATAATTATAGCATGGGTAATACCAAGACCTATTAACACTAGATTGCCGAAAGCGGTCATTTTGAACGTTTTTCAATTTCAAGTACAAAAAAATTGTGTATATTATGACACAGCTTTTTAAAATTTGGTGACTTTTTGTACCACATAGAACTACGTTTATTAATCATAGTAGCTGCTTCCCCCCTCTTTCATTTCCCGTATTCACATGTGCTATACACTCAAACTACTTTTATTATTGTATAAAGTAAATTTCTTATATAACCAGATCAGTACAACAACATCGAAACCCGTTTGTTTTTTTTTTCGTTCGGTCCCACGCCACTCACACCCGCCCCAACCGACCGTGGGGGCGACCTCCCTATATCGAAGGGAACGCGAAACCCCATAGTCCGGACTATTGAGGGGTTAGTAAATGGTGGGATGACCGGCTACATATTTTATCAACCGACAAAGACTAAAAAATTTATTGGGATAGAGTTACGGGTAATACGGGATGGAATATTGAATTTTATTTCTCTTAATAAATTAGAGGAATCGATTAAGCCACGTATAAATTTTATTATAAAAATCGCCCTTACCATAAAACGTCTACTTTCAAGGGTAGGCAAATCTATTAACATTAAGCGACTTTCATATGGAGGGAGCCTTACAGATGGGTCCCAGTGTAGACACCGCAAAGCAAACAAAAGAAATTGAGTTTGGACAGATTCTATTTTATCAGAATAACGCTTGTAGGAGGAACTCCATAAAATACAATCATACTCTAGTGTTGGTCGAACTAAAGTAATAAATAGGCGTTATGTAACGTAAGGATCATTAAATTCTTTGGACCAGCGCTTAATGAATCCTAATCAAGATTTTGCTTTATTAATGCAAGACTCTATATGGAGATTAAACCTCAGTTTAGGGTCTAATATTACTCCTAGATCTATGAACGACGAAATATTTTTCAACTTATAAGAACCAATGTGATAATCAATGCAGATTTGTTGCATTCTAAATAATGATAGCTTCTTACATGTTTATACCCTCCACCATAGTATGGAGGGTATATTAATTTTGTCATTCCGTTTGTAACTCATCGAAATATTGATTTACGACCCTATAAAGTATATATATTCTTGATCAGGGTAAAATTCTAAAACGATCTAGCCATGTCCGTCCGTCCGTCTGTTGTAATCACGCTATCTTCCGCAGGAATTGAGATAGGGTGCTGAAATTTTGCACAGGTTTGTCCTTTGTCTGCAGGCAGTTCGAAGATGGGATATATTGGTCCACGTTTAGGCATAGCTCCCATATAACAGTACCCCCCAATATTCGGTATTTTGGGGTTCTTGAGCGCGTTTATCATCCGAATACGCTGAAATTTTGTGCATTGGGTTCTTATTGGGTACTTAATGTCTCCACTAAAAATTATAAATATAGGTCCACTTTTTCTGATAGCCCCCATATAACGGTACCTCCTAATTTTCAGTATTTTGGGGGTCTTGAGCGCATTTTTCAACCGAATTCGCTGGAATTTGGTATTTTGTAGTCGTATATGGTAACAAATCTCTCCACCAAAAATTATTACTATTCGCCCACTTTTTGGGGTAGTCCCCATATAACCCCACTTTTTATATTAAAATCTTTGTCTGTTTTGTTCCGTGTTTTGGGTTTTGTTCTAAGACTCTGTTGTAATCTTTTCACCTGCGTAGGATATCGGATAAAAAAACTAGAACGTAAGGTTCGATAATGAACTATATATATGAACTATAACCCGCATTTAGACCGATGTTCCCAATCTTCGAAATTGAACTAAGTTTGGAAGAAATAGTAAGATGGATGAAAATCTAAATTTTCTGAAACGGATTTTGCCCAAAGAAATATGGGGTCTAAAACAAATATATTTTGACGAGGCACATTTTCACAGTTTCAAAGTGTATACATCCTCATTGGCCATAGAAATGTCGGTATAGGTCCGCTTTTTGGTATTTTCCCTATATTTTCATTTCAAGTACCTGTCAGTATATCTATGGTGGAGGGTATCCAAAGTTCGGACCGGCTGAACTTAACGCTTTTTCACTTGTTTAAGATTTAAAAACATTCCATTGGCGCTACACCAGTTAGCCAAAGAATGCAAATCGAACTGTAAAAGATTGGAATGACTTGTAGATTCAATATGCCGGAAAAGCTTAACATCATCAGCATACATCAGTATTTTTGAAAAGCGGATAACGGAAGGAAGGTCATTGATGTAGAGAATGAAAAGAAGAGGTCCTAAGTGACAACCTTGTGGAACCCCGGATAAGACAGTAATATTCCTGGATAATGAGTCAAGGTAGGTAGATATCCAACTTAAGAATGTATTAGGAAAATCCCATAAGACTAAGTTTATAAAGCAACAGTTTATGAACTACCATATCAAATGCTTTGCTGAAATCGGTGTATATAACATCAGTCTGCAATTTTTTACTAAAACCCTTGAGAACTTCATTAATGAATTCCAAACGGTTTGTAGTTGTAAATCTGCCTTGAATGTTAAATGTTTTAATCTGCGACATATCAAAAGCTCAAAAACTTTAGGTATAGCGCTTAGTTTTGCAATACATCTGTAATTTTCTACCAAACTTCTATTTCCAGATTTGTGTAGAATAACCCTGACGTAGAGAATCATTAAAGATCACAGTCAGAGGTAAATAAATTTCATTTGCACAGGATTTATGAATAAGAGTGGGAACACCATCAGGCCATGGTAGGTTAGATGTACATAAAGTTTTTAGGCATAAGTTTTTCGATAGAAAAGTAGTCAATATACTTAATGCAATAGAGGAATAGGATGAAGAAGAAGAAATCTGCGAACATATTGGAAATTTCTGAGTTATCAGATGATTCTCTACTTCCATATCTCATACTACTTGGGAATTTATTAACCTTTCTTTTAGAGTTTACGAACTTATAGAAACTTTAGGGATTATTTATTAAATTATCGGGCATGTTCTGGCATTCACTTCAACGGCAGAAGTGTATCAAACACACGCCGAGGTGTTCTGTAACATACTTTACCCCATTTGAGGTGTATTCTTTACACTTACATTTTCATAGTGAGAGTCTGGTGTATTCATGTTTTTTCTATATAAAAGAAAACTTTTTTGAAATTAAAAAGGCACATGATGATAGATTAATGTGTTATTATCGAAATCACAAAATAATGATAAAATGCATTTAAAAATCAATTTTGAATAAATACTTAGGTTGTGTTGCATTTATTCCAAATGAATCTCTCGCTTGACACAAGGTGTGTCTGGTTACTTTTCCAGTAACATTTCTTCAGTAAGTTCTAGTTCAGAGAGTAAGCTTTTTTTAACTCTCTTTTGTGATAATATTGAGAAAAGTAAACAGACAACATTTAGTAAAATTCAGCAAATAAACAACTGATTCAAGAAAACATTTTTATTTGCGCCAAAATAAACAATCAAAGGACGAAACAATTATTTGCATTGCATTTAATATTAAAAATAAAATGAACAATAAAAGAAAAATTTATTTGGTAAGTTTCCCCGGGAACATTTAAGCTTCCTGCATCAATACATTGCCCTCTTTCTGGAACTTGCCTAAAAATATAAAGAATTAGTTTCTAATTTAATTAAACTTTGCATTACTTACGAGTTTGCTGAGTTTGCAAAATCTTATTGCATAAAACTCTTTCAGTAAACTCCAGTAAGTTTGTTGTTGTTCAACTGTCAAGCTTGCTCTCTCACTTGACTCTTTTTTACTGGATTTTTGGGTAAGCAGACAACATTTAGTAACAATTGTTACCAAATATCGAGTAAAAAGACAGAGCTACAAACAGCTGATTTGCAATAAGATCGTACAGGATAGGGTTACCAAATGTTCCTCTTAAATCAATCAACAAATTAATGATATTAAAGAGTCTTTCATACATATTTTTTATGTTGCGAATAATAAAATATCAAAAAATAATAATAAAATTATTGTTAGAATTTACGAAATTAGTAAAAAATGACAGAAACTATGTTAAAAACGAATACAGTTTATATTGTATGGCAATACTATTTCTCCAAATTACCATGTTGGCATTTATTTTTTTATTTGTCGCAGTTCGAAAATTTCAATTCACGTGAGATGCAGAACAGGAGGTAACTTCTGAGGTGAAGTGTATGTGTGAAGTGAAAAGAACATACCCGTATGTTTAATTTTTGAAAGATAAAGTGAATACGATTTTGAATTCTCAGCGTTGTACTAATTTCGAGCAGCAATATATTTCGAAAAATGTTGTAAAGTATTGCGTTTTTTAAACTTTTTAAAGAGCCTGCTTTTAATATTACGCAGTCGCCTTAAATAAGGTGCAAACCAGGCAGGACCGTGGTCAAGGACCCTTTAGTCGAAGGAACACATTTGGAAAAAGTATTGTTGAGTTCATTGTAGGAATTTGCAACACACGCATCAATATATTTATTGAAGCACCTATTAGTATTAGACAGGATACATTTCAGTTGTGAAAGGTTTGCCTTAGCGAAATTGTATGAAGGATTCGTGTTTTTAAGTGGCATAGATTTTTTTGAAACATTTTTTAGTTCAAGGTTAATTGAAAACGTAGGGTGGTACTTGTCTTCATTTTCTACAAGGGGTGAAACTCTATTTAGAGAAATACTTAACTTGGATGAAAATACTAAATCCAAAATCCGATCCTTAACATTTAAGATATAATTAACTTGATACAAACATTTATCATATATTTGTCCCAAAAAGTATCTAGTCCAGTATTATTATTTACCGCCGGTATGAAATCTAAATTGTTGTCACCTGCCACCCAAGAAACATTTGGAAGATTAAAATCACCCATGCAAATTAACAAAGATGTTTCAGAGAGTAAATCCGAGATGTAGCCTATTAAATCGGCATGTCTGTTATATATCTCAATATTCGAATTGGGAGGAATATAGGAACAAGATATATAAGTAATCGTGCCAAGATACGATAGCTTTGCGCAAATTAATTCAACATTGTTACTCTAGAAACACAAACGAACACACAAATCGGGAAAAATAAATTTTATATTTCCAGTCGATTTCAATCTTAGAGTAAACACGTACTCTTTTTCGAACATTTTGTCCGCGCTCTTATTTTTCAAAAAGGGAAACTCGAGAGCCCTCCCGAATACAAACAACAACGTTTTGTATGATTGTATATAATGTAAAAAATAAGTTTAATTTTTTTTTTCAGAATGAGGTCATTTTGACCAATTTTAGGCAATATAGGTATATTCAAAATTCCAGTCTTTCTAGTGTTAATAAGGTCGTACAGGGAGACCAGCTGGTTATCAGATGCCTCTCAAGTATGCTGTCAAAATCCATTATTGTTAATTGACTTCCATTATGAAAACGTAAACAAAAGCCAAAGTTTTGACATTATACTTGAGAAAAAACAGCTGAATTTCGCTAGCTGGGTGACCTTATTAAAAGATCTTGGGTAATACGTATCTACAAAACATTTTGCCATTGTGTGAAAGTTGAATATCAAGCAATCCAAAAGGCGAATTCATTCAAAAGTACAACTCTGCACAATAGATGTCAAAAGTTGTACTATGAGCGAAAATCCTATTTTGAAATTGTCAAATTTCTTACCACACACTATTTTCTTAAACAATTCATTTGTTTTTCCAATATTTGAAGTATATATTTCATATTTTAACTAATTTTACTGATAAAACCACGAAGGAAATATGGTCAATTTTAAATATGAATGGTATAAGAGAAAAATATAGTGAAGTAGATAATGTAGATGTTGAGAGTTTAAATTATATTGTATCTAACCAGTCTGTTAGCCTGTTTGATGTTTCTTGTGTTCCTGTGGGATATTATGATGGGTTTTCGATTCGTGCACTTGATTTGTTTGAAGTTATGGATGCATTTGGAAAAATTAAAGTTTTTGAAGTTGGCGTTTCCCTTGGTTGGGCGACATTTGTTGCACATTGTAAACTCTATTTTAACAATGTCTTCGTTCCCTGATGCATGGAGAACTGATAAAGTGGTGCCTATACATAAAAGTAAAGATACTAGAGATTACCGACCTATATCCATAATGCTTCAGTATATTAATGAGCGATCGCTACTACATGATAGCCAATATGGATTTAGGCGTAATCGTAGTACAACTTCCTTGTCGGTTTGACTGACAATGTAAGGAAGACTGTTGGTGTTGGTGGAGTATTATTGTCATTGGACCTAGAGAAGGCTTCTGATAGGATATGTCACTCCATATTGATTGATAAATTGCATCGTTTCTTCAATTTTTCGTCGTCAGCACACAAGCTAATTTTTTCATATTTGTTTGGCAGAAAACAATATGTTAGTTGTAAGAATTGTTTTTCGAGTGCGTTGCCAGTATGTAGTGGTGTCCCTCAGGGGTCCGTTCTTGGTCCCCTGTTATTCGTAGTGTATGTTAATGATATGCTCAGTTGTATTAATAGTAGAAGTTGTATGTCATTTGCGTTTGCAGATGATATACAAATATTATTTAAAGGAGAATATGTGTTCATGGATGTGCTGCAGTCTTCGATTGATTTCACTGTTAATGCATTAGTTACGTGGTTGTCTAACAATAGGCTCTCAATAAATACGGAGAAACCCAAGGTTATGTATTTTGGCAACATGCGAGCGGATGCAAAAAATTTTTTGTCCTGCGCAAACTTAGGCTTTTATTCCTACTTAAGTTGCGTGATCATGTTTCTTCTTATGTTAAGGGTGCTTCGTTTGATGATTTCCTTAAAATCAGATGTATGTTTTTTTTCTTTAAGGTTTATAAAACCCAAACCCCTTCTTCAGTAGTAGAACTATTTTCATTCAGTAGGTCTGTGAGAAATACTCAAAACCAAGTGCCTCGTTTGAATCCTTTGTTGGAGAAGTATTTCCATGTAAGGGTTGCTCGGGTGTTTAATAGTTTGCCACAGGTTCTTAAAATATTCAGTGTTTCGTTAAAATGTTATAAGAAAAAGTTACTTCAATATGCAGATGTTCATGGATTTTAATGTATATATTTTGTTAAATATTTATAGCTGATAGCATAGGATAAGCTTATGAATTGATTAATAATTAATCGTTAATTAATTTTAAGCCTTTGAAGTAGTTCATGTATTTTGTTTATGATATGATTAAGTGATATACTGTTAATTTTAAGCTTTTGGAGTAGTCCATGTAATGAAGTTTTTGGAATCACTCATGGCCCTTTGGGCTAGGTTCTCTAGGTTGAATTGAAAATAAAAATCGCAATTTTTGTGAATTTATACTATGTTTTTTTTTATTGAAATCCAAATCAAAACTACATAGTTTGACAAAATATGTAGATACAGCCGAGGTTTATTCATAAGGTTCATAAGGAGGCGAATTGAAAGTCTTCATTGACTGCCACATTTATTGTTTGAAAAATAAATAAACAAAAGAAATTTTTATTCTAACCATTACTATCATTTTGACTTTTTATCCTGTTCCTAATTCGCCTCTCCGGCAGGCGAATTCATGCCTTAGTCTTCTCTTGCTGTCAACTTTTTAATCGCGAAATACAAAGCAGAACAGGATAAATATTCCAAATATCTTTCAAAAACGCGCATTGATAAGATTGAGCACGTATATTTTGTTTCGAATAAAAATATTTTTTGTTTATTTATTCTTCAAACCAAGGTTTATATAATAAATAATTAAGGAGGCGAATTCAAAGTCTTCATTGACTGTAAAATTTGTTTTTTGAAGAAACATGCACCGTTTTGGTCTACAATTTGTTGCCATTTTAAAAGTAACTTCCTAATGCATCTCATAGAAGTCCTACTTTCTATTTGCATAAAACTCTAGTAGTCGATTTTCACAATCCACTCTACACCTTTTTCAGATGTTATTCAAAACATATCAAATGTAATTCGAGAATTCCATTTGTAATTCACAACATATAATTTGCATTTCGAGAATTCCACTTGCAATTCACAGCATATCAGGTGTAATTCGAGAATTTAATTTGTAATTCATAGAATACCTTTCGAAATTCATAGAATTCCATTTGAAATTCCAAGTATTTGCGTTTGAAATTCATAAAATTCCATTTGAAATTTAAAGTTACGAAAAGTTTAAAATTACAAATGAAATGTTTTGAATTACATATTACATACTCGAATTACAATTGAAATGTTATGAATTGCAAATTGAGTTTTCGAATTACAAATGAAATTCTCGAATTGCAATTGAAATGTTTTGATTAACATTTTAAAAATGTGTAGATACAATTTTTTTATCATTAAAGAAATTTTGCAATGCAAGAAAATGGTGATAATCGCTTGGTGCCAGGTCCGAACTGTAATGCTTTAAAACTTCCGAACCAAGCTCCCGAAGTTTCTGGCGAGTCACTGTAGATGTGTGTGGCTAGCATTGTCCTGGTGGAACACGACTTCTCTCCTGTTGGTAAATTCTGACCGTTTCTTGTCAATTGTTTTATGGTAGATTTTTAGGTCCTGGATGATGTTACGACTGCTAACATGCCGGTTAACTTCGATCATTTCTCCGATTTTATCGACATTTTCGACGACCGGCCTACCTGTGCAAGGTGAATCTTTAACCTCAACAACTAAAAAAGTGTCAGACGGTGCTGCTGACAGATACATATATACCCTCACCCTATGGTTTGCAGAGGATGTTGACCATTTGTGTGGGAGATAACAGAAGGAGTGGACCAATGAGTCCCATCTTCGGACTTGATCTAGACTTGGTAAAGATAAAAGGTTGTGAAAAGCTTGGTTTAATCGGGCATTCCAATATCAGGATATTGGATTTATAAATATTGAAGATGTTGGGACTCTGTGGGGAAGGTACCAAGCCTTGATCAAGGCTTGTTAAAGGTAAACAAATTTCATTAAAATCGGATAGTCCGTTTGCATGTTATTATAGAATTAATTATACCCTCGGCCTTATGGCCAATGAGGGTATATACACTTTGATACGGTGAAAATGTACCACATTGAAATATTGGTTTTAGACCCCATGTTTCTTTCCAAATCCGTTTCAGAACATTTGGAGTCGATTTACATATGTCCGTCCGTCTGACTGGTTCGCACGATAACTCGAAGGCAGCAACCGATTTCATTCAAACTTGCACATCTTAATAATTCTTCCAAACTTAGTTTAAGTTCGAAGGTGGGGAATATCGGACCACTCCTTCTGGTACCTCCCCCACAAAATGGTCAAAATTGTGCTAAAAATTAATTTTATAATAACAAGCAAATGGACTTTCCGATTTTCGAAACTTTGTAAAAACTATTATCTTTACCAAGCCTAGATCAATGGGTCGATTATGGATAGCAACCAAACTCCAGTTGCGATTTCAACTGGCATCGACAGTTGGGTTCCAGGACATAGTGACATTGAAGGGAATTAGATAGCCGACGAGCTTGCTCGAGGGGCTCATAGTCGTCCAATCTTCCGATTGAGAGATCTGTGAAACCTCCCATCGGCTATTTCATTGGCGGAATCCGTTCGTTCTACTGCGAGGTAATCGGCAACAGATGGCTGAGAGAACCTGCTTGCAGAATCTGAAAATCTATCTGGCCTGAACACACAATAAGAGGGAGATCAAAATCGTTGTGGGGATCATAACAGGTCACTGCATGATTAGATCTCTCACTTTGAAGTGGGACTCCAGTGGAGAGGATTACTTTCGTCTATGTGAAGACGGAGAAGAACTAGAAACAATTGAACATATCCTCTGTAAATGTCCATCGCTGATTAGCAGAACACATAAACAGTTTGGAAAATATGAAATAGACCCAAACCAGATCCTAGGCTTTGTTAAAAATTTGACATGGCTAAAATAACCTTTCCTTCCCTTTTCTTCTCGATATATTTTTTCCTTGCTCTTCTACTCTCTTATTGGTTGATTCTTTATTTGATTTTAAATCATATGAATGAAAAGTAAACATTTTTGAATTTTTGCTTTACAAACAATAAAGAAAAAATTTGAAACCATATGATTGTCACTTATTAAATAGACGTTGCATACGAGGATTCGGTATTGGCATATACGTTGGCATAGTCTAGTTTAGTAAAAACGATCACATTTTTTATTTTTCCAGAGGTAGGTATTATTGTCCCAATTATGGGGATATATTCTTGGGGACGTAACCGATTATTGGACCGGAATTTCGTGTAGGATACCAGGTTCTACGAAACTGATTATTACAAAATGATTATCACTGTCCCGTTATCGTGACACCATTGCGTTATAATATCAAATTCTTTCTGCATTGTGTTCGTTGTTTGTTGCAAACAATTATGGTGACGTTGTCAGCACACATAAAGCATGTGCTGTGTTTTAAATGTTGTGTCATCTCATTAGTATATATAAGGTATAATATTGGTTTAATGTATATTTAATCTGGTGGTTTGAACTTCCTGCCACCCTTCCCCCTCTTCCCATCAACATATTTTGTTTGCTCCTCTCGAGGAAAATTACTGCAAAACTACATGGAAAAAAGAAATGAAAAACAAAAACATTGCAAACAGTTGGTGAAAAAACTTGTCTTTCGAAACAATGTTTGGAAAAGTAGTTAAAAGCACGCAATTCAGGCTTGGCCTTACATTTCTCCCTTAACCACCAAGCATTGTAGGCAAAAACAGTACAATAATAGTAATAACAAAGCCCAAAAAAATGGGATATTTTAGCAATTTTTGCATTTTTGTTTCTTGTTTTCTCTGCCTCTAAAGAATATATAGATAATTTTCTAAGAATGTAAAACAAGACATACAAGAGGGGAGGGAGTGAGTTTAAGGGCTTCGTATAGACTAGAAAATATTCCTCCCGAAGTTTATATATTTTGTGGCTCGTTGTGGCATTCAAGCTCGGGTTGCTGCTTTACTGGTTTATTGTGTTTTTGTAAAATAGAAAGCCATTAAAATAAAACTAAAGTGGAAAATTTATGGTATTCGGAATGAAGAAGATTTTTGAAAATATAAAAATATATATTTTTCATATTTGATTATTTGTCATTTTCGAAGCTACTCATAAACAAAATTTAATTTTTCCCCTCCTAAAAGTATGCTTTAATTTATGATAATTAGTAACTCCTAAAAGTATACTATAGTTTTAACAAAAAATATTTTAAGCTACTAATAAACAATTTCACTCTGCAAAATTTCCAACCACGTGGTTATAATTAGACCCCAAGTTTATGTGGACCAGATCATTGTCAGACATTTTGCGTAGATTTAGAAATATCCCCTTAGGTTGGATTGAGTGCACAATAAGGAGCAAGCGATTTCAACCAAAAGTTGCACATCATATTACATACAAACTTAAATCATGTTTAAAAAAGAAGAATATCTGTCACTTTTTCTGGTGCCTCTCATACAGAATTGTCAACATTTTTCTGAAAATCTATTTTATAATA